ACGTGTCTCACAAACATAATTGGAGAATCATCAGAAATGAAACTGCATTTTTCTAAGTTAAGCAAAACACAAAAAACTGGTTTCAGTGTAACTAAAAGAATCGCAGCGCCACACAGTGACATCTGGAACACTTCTGTAGTGATGTGCTTGCAACAGTTTGCCAGCTGAGACCACACTGCCACCTTCTGGACATCTAGGCCAGGTCATACGAGTGCTGCAAAAGTCTGCATTTTATTAATTCAATACCCAGATCAACCATTATTACTGTCATATACATACAGTATATCTGGTTTACCTCCAGACATTTAGTAAGTTTGTATAATTTACATCATTTCAAGAAATTATTCACCAGATCCATAATTTCCACATTTAGTTAAATCCTTAATTTTAAAAGATTGCGAGAGCAAATTTGAGGCAAATTCATTTATAGCCATAAAAAGGTTAAAAAACAAGATTGATACATTTTTGTTGTCAATATTATAATAATAAGTTTACAAACTCTAACATTAAAAAGATAGAATATAGAAATGCAATTTGAAATGCATATTTTTGGGCTTCCTGCATGCTGTAATTCTATACGTGTTTTCTGTTTGTTTGCTTGTACCTGCTGTATGTAAGAACAGAGGGGAAAACAGATAGGCTGGAAGCAACACAGTTTTTGACCAAGTTTATATTATGAGAATGTGGATGTTCTCTTATTTTTGTTCTCTTTTATTAAACAATATAAGTTGAAGAATATTATCTGGTCTTCCTTGCTAGATAGTTTTTCCATGTGGTACAGGAGAGACTGAAGGAGCTGGATTGCCACTACAATGTTATATTAATCTCTCTCCTGAAAATACAACAAACAACACCCTATAATGACACTAATAATTTTTTATGTGAGCTCCAGTGTTCCTCTTTTGGAGAGACGTTTCTGTCCTTCTATAAGTTCAGATGAAGTCGCTCCTTAATACAAAGGAACATGGCAGCATGAATTACGTCTCTGGTCTGGCAAGACAAAGACTGGACTCTTTAGTATGAATGCCTGGCACCATGTTTGGAGGAAATGTGGCTTATCTCCAGACCAATAATTGTCCTGCAGTGAAGCATGGTGGTGTCAGCATCATGCTGTTGTTGTTTTTTCAGCAGCAGGAACTGGCAGACCAGTCAGGACAGAGAAAACGATGAATGCAGCAATATACAGAGAGCTGAGGGAGTACCTGCTCCACTGTGCTCCTTACCTCAGACTGAGACAAAGCCCCAGAGCTCACAGCTAAGATCTGAAGGGACTGGATTTAGAACCACTTTGCTGGTGTGACCAAGCCAGAGTCTAGATTTGGATCTGATTCTTTACATCTTTAGAGAGATCTGAAAATGGCTGTGATCAGGACGTCTGCTGCCCAGCCTGATGGAGCTTAAGATGTCCTGCAATGAAGAGTTGTCCAAACTATCTGTAGCTTGAGCCATTTTCTAAATAAAAAAGTCTTCAGGCTGTAATTGCTGCCAGATGCTTTTAGCTTCTAAGCTGACAATATATCTGGACATGCAGCCTTGTTGGTGTTGATCATCCTCCTAATTTATGAAATCCTGTCACATGACAAGAGGCTGATGCTGCACCTCCAGCTGAGGTGGAGGTTTGGTCCTTCTGCAACTTGGAGTGCCAAAGTGTGATGGACCACTTGCTCCCTCGATGGTTCAGCGCAGCTACCGTGGCCAGATCATTATTTGTCAATTCTTTTTTTATTTATATTATGTTTTCCTTTCAGTAATTTATGTTTGTTTCATGAGAGTTAAGCTCCTGATTCATGTCCTAAGTCTTGGAGGCCAGTGGATTAAGAGTTTGGTGTGTGTCTCCCGGCTCTTCTCTGCCAAGCCCTCAGGGTTTTGGCTCGGCTCGCGGGGAAGGTCAGTTTATATTCCTGTAAGCCTGGCTCCAAGCTGGAGACCAGTTTAAAGTTCGGCATTTATCCTGGTACCATGTCTTGTCTATGTTCCTCTTTACCACTGAGCTTGCCTGTCTTCATCTGAACGTGTCTGTCAGAGCTCGCTGCTGGACTCGTAGAACTCTGAACCTGCCTGAACACTCTGAGAATTCCTGGAACCCTGAATCAGTCTGGTCCTGTTTGGATCAGAACTCCTGGTCAGGCTACAGACCCCTGGATCTTGTAACTGTCCAGTTCTGAATAGGTTCTCTGACCTGGATTGGTCTCCTGCCTGCTCACTGGGGTTGCTGCATCGGGGACACATGGGTGGCTCTGAGCCATATCTCGTTTGGCAGTCCATCGGCCGGATCTTGCCTTCCTCAGGGAGGATGGACTGAACTGTTAAACTGGGTAAGTGACTCACTCGGATAATAATCACCTGTCAGATGATTGTGGTCATTCACCTGTGTTTCTCCCACATCCAGTGTGCCAGTGATGGGATGTGCCCCGCCCCCCTGCAGCCGCTGCAGACCGATTATCCTCAGCAGCCCACGTTTCTGTTCTGTTTTATCATTTCTGTCATTAAATATTTTGAA